TACTATATGAGCAGAATGACGGAAAAGGAATGCTTGTCATGCAGTTTCGTCATTTTGAATTCCCATATATGACTACAAGTGGGCGACAAACGACGACATTTCGCACAAAGAGCGAAGATGATGGGGCAATGGAATACTTTCTAACGTCAAATTTACATATAACAGAAAATAATTCCTATTGGTTGATGGCACATTAATGATACCATCCAGTTCAACTTCTTAGATCTTAGCAAAACCGTAGCTGTAGATTCTTTTTTGCCATGAAAAACGGTGACAAATGCGAACGACATTAACTAATTAAATGAAACCAATTTAAATCATGAAGACATTAACAAAGAGTATACATAATTAACACTTAAATAATATAATTAAGATAGCGAAGCACTACCTCAATTGGCATATTTATCAAACCTTCCCTAACTCGCAGCACTTTCTCAACAACCTCAAAATAATTTATAAGAAAAGTGTTCAAAAATTAGGGTGCCTTTACAAATGCATCCAAAGTTTGACATACTCTACAACCTAGAACTTATCCTGATAGAATGGACTAAGCTGTATCTTGAAATAAAGGATATGTAGACTATACTGGAACTCGAACTAAAATCTCGATTTCAGAATATAAACGGAATCATTGCTCCAAGGATGGAAAAGCTCACCTTCCATATTAGAAAAATGTAGGCTAATCATTTAAGGCCTATCGAGCATCACTTCTACGCTCTATTGTGACATAAAATGTCACATTTGCATAAGAAGAAAAAAAATCAAATCAGTAGAGAACTTTGCATTTCATCCTTCTACGCAAAAAGCGAAACGAAAATGACCAATCAAATCACTCTTCACTTATGTAACTGAGCGTACTCTGTTTCCCACGAAAATCATCCTAATACTTATTGGAGTTAATCTCGATGAGGCCGCATGTATACTGTAGTCTAGAATCCGTACAAGTTGAGTGTGCTCATGGAAAACATCCATACACTCTAAGCGTGATTCTGCATTTGAGCCTTTCATGTAGGATACATTGGCCGAAAACAGAGTCGCCCTCGAGGCGATGGGACAGACTGACTCATCAAGTCATTTGTGTTTAACAAGTTTGTGCATATCCTTGCACTTTTAGTCGATAAATTCAATAAGTACAGAGGTCTTACACAATATTCTTCGTTCATCACAAGCTGAAATTTCGGCCAAAAAGGTAACAAAGGGAAAAGGGATCTCTCATTACTGCTTCAAAGAAACGATTATACCAGTTTACGGGTACAGCACATAACCATGCTCTAACAATTTTTATCAGTGACCATCAACTCATCGTCAACAGCTGTCACCTTCCATAGGTGCTCGTTACCTTGTCCACAGAATCTCGTTTTCTTCACAACTAAACTGCACATCTTAGTCGTTAGTAATTCATACAAGCGTACTAATACAGCTGGTTTCATCCAGCCACTTCAAAAAATGGCTAAAATCGAACATTCACAATTTGTTAAGCACCATGTTGTTTCATCGCTCACAGATTATCTCACGATTATCACCTTTGTCTCTACCTTGCAACATAGTTTCTCCTGAAACTTTCCCGCTAGAATGCGAGAATCCTCTCTATCCTTAGCATCTTCAAATTCGTCTACCTTTGATATCTCCTCCAGATGAATTACTTTGGTATTACAGAAGAAGCGACATCTTCAAACTCTATATAAATAACGCTTGGATTAGAAGACAGCCCCATTTCATGTAAATCTGATAGTATTGGGAGAAATTCACCGTCGACCTAAGCTCCCATAAAATAACGTTCAAGGAAATAAACAAGGATAGTTGAGTTGAATCTCTTAAGAATGGTGCAGATTCGGATTTGTCGCAAGCTCTTTTGATCAAAAACGAAACTCAATTTCTCTTCTGCTGACATATCTGAAGTTCTGTAAATTTCAACGTTAACCCAACAATTGATTGGTCTTTACTTTATAATCACTACGATGAATCATAGCTAAGATATGAAATTGGCGAAAACGAGAGATACTGAGTATAATTCTATGTTATCGATCGATTATCGGAAGCCAAAACCAATGGGATTTTAAATGTAGCGACAGCGAATTGAGTAGAGAGCAAAACTTTGACCTCAGGCGGAAGTTGAACCCACCTTTCACCGAAACCGGGGCACGTTGTACCATTAAACCACCGGGGCACCGTTTACTCATTCTTGATCGTCTCTGTCATAGCTATCGGTCACCACAATTAACAGGTTTGGTCGGGTAAGCAATTTCGCTATATAAACTCAGTTAAGCTGACAGTCATTGTGATATTAATACTCAAGATATTTCATGTTTTTACTGCATTTCACAGCGTCATGAGGTTCTCAAATGTACTTCAGAGAACTGAGTGGCAAGCAAAAATTCGACCTCAGGAGGCCGGGTGGCGCGTGCCACCACTACACCACCGAGGCACAGTTTCACTACCACGGCGAAAAAGCTCTAAAAACATAAGAAATCTTGATCAATGGGATTGCTGGACTGAATACCGGTTTTTTTTTTCAGAAATATACCCACAAGAAATTTAGAAAGGATTCACTAACAAAGTCGACACAAAAATATAAGCAATAGGAAAATTGTTCTTATGAAGAACTGAAAGACAGACGTGTATCGACTTCAATTCGTAGGATGCACAGCAAAGAACAAATTTGAGTCCGCAGACGAAAACTAGCTGTATGTGTGTGCTCACGTATTGGGTCACTATACACCAAAAATTCAGACTATTATGATTTCTGCTGCCTCAAAACGACGACAAATCAGCTCTAACCATATGACCCAAACCTTCGACTGACTGACCTCAATAAATGAATTGATGGAGTTATCGTTTGGTCTGTCAGTAATCAGAAAACGCATGCGTCCGTACAATATCTCCGATGGTGCTGGTTTGAAATAGGCAGCGGCGGCACCACCACCACCGCCACCACCGGACACCATAATCTTCTTCTGAGTGCTTGCAGTACCCATTTAGAGTAAAAAATGCTGAAAAAAGGGATTAGTAATTCCTAAATTATCTATAATGAGAAAAATTGAAACGATAACGCATAACGTTGACTGTCTATGAAACTAACCACAACTAAAACTAACCAGCTGCAGTTATAGGACGTTAATTTTCGCGACTTTTCCTCCGAGATCAACCAGTTCATATATTAGTAAGCTAACAAAATGAAGAAAAATGGGGAGACTTTTTGAGTTATCTGTATCAAATTGACTCCCACCGCTCAATTTCCGTATTGAAAGATCCATTTTGACTTATTGAAAAGAAATACGCTGAAGTCATTGAGAGCCAACTTGCAGTACGTTACGGTTCTCAAAAGCTCCCTTTCCAGAGAAAAAAATATTTTCTAGTATGTGTAAAGAAACTTCGAACATTTATTAGCTCGGCTGTATATGGGTTAGCCTTGCATGTTGTTTATCATTGTACAAGAGATGTCAATATACATATAACAGCAGTCCACGATTTCTCTCTCAGCGATAAAAAATCACTAAATCGTGAAAAAAGTAAGCTGTTGAGCAAACTTACATAAAATCTCAGGTAGATCAAGGAGGCCGAAGATATACGCAGTCCGCGAGAATGGAAAGGCAGAAGATAATGATTTTAGCTATAGTCGTCACTAGTCAATGGTGCTGACTTCGGCAGAACTCGCCAACCGGATTCAAGTTCACCAAACTCAGCCGGCTAAAATCATAAAAATCAATTTCAAACGGACAGAAAATAAGGACATTGACGTTCGTTTCATAGGTCCAACTCTATTCACAATATACCACAACTGATCAAACAACAGAAATAAGAACAACGATTTTTCTCTCACAGACTTTGTTTTGTTTCCAACTAAATTAACACGAAGACCACTAATAGGCAGCTATGTTTAAACTGGGGCGATTCAATAGGCAACGCTCATGTTGGCTCGTGGGCACATGTTTTCATAAAGGTGGCATCATCACGAGGGGGCAACAAAAGACGCGAACACACGTAATCTGCGCTCTAAGGCAACAGATAGAGCACTCGAGGGGACTCCACGGCCTCTTAGGTTTAAATCAAAAAGACAATCTAACTTTCACCATTGATATGCATCTTGATCTATAGAAAACCCTCATAAAAATCCACGCATAGAAAAGAGTGTTTGGCAACTTTAATCCAGAAACGAAACAAAAAAGTCTTCGAACAACATCTCCAGAGTAACAATGTCCTATGCGAAGTCTAAGAAGGAGGAACGAGTCAAAGACAGCAAGAACGGCAACAACAGCAACAACACCATCGGCAACACCACAACGACGACAGCAACAAAAAAAAAAGTCTGGGACTCATTTTTCGCTCTCAAAAACGAAGTATCTAGAGGTAAGCAGTGTTTACGTAATTTTGATTTTGTACGGATGGCACAGTTTCCTACCAACAATAGTAGGAACGAGAACGAACGAACGAACGTACCTGGAAATACTTGTCCAGAAAATTAGGCCTGTGTTCATATCACAGACGATGCACAAGGATAATAGGTGACGAATTTCACAGCTGAGCAATTTCCGTCTGAATCATAGATGGTATTGAGGCAATACGAAAAAAGAATTATAGGAAAGTACGAACGAACGGACGTCGATCACATCATGACATTGTAATCATTACAGATCCCAAGAGCTTATGGAATACAAACATACTTAGTTAAATTTTCGGCTACCATACAAAAATTGATGATTACAAAAGATTAAAGAGATTAGCGTCAAAAAAAGAAAATCCGTTACAGAACACATGGCAGAAACACAAGTGAAAGAATTATGTTACACGGATAAACTACATCTGGTTGACCATTCGCTTATTTTCAGATCAATAGAAAACACTTTACAATCCTAAAAACGATCAAACAAATTCGTTACCAAGTAGGCATCGTTCAGTATCATAGAGGCAGTGAATAGGCAAGTATATTATCGCCCATACAAAGTCTGTTTTAACTGCTCTTCAACAATAAGTGAAGGGAACTGAGTGGTGAGCAAAAACTCGACCTCAGGCGGGAGTTGAACCCGCGATTCATTCATACCGGGGACGCGTGCTACCGCTACATCACTCAGGCCATCACTTACTCACCACTCATTTTACAATGCCTTTCTATCTTAGTTATTAACCACCAACCATTTAGCAGGTTTAATTGGGTAAGCAATATCGCTCTATAAACCCAGTTAAGCTGACAGCTATTGTACTCATTGAAACATCATACTACTGCGAAAAAGCTAAAAAAAAAAAACAAGTATCTTCGAATAACTGAAGGATCTATGAAGGACCAAACGGCTTTGAAGAAAGCGAAACCGCTGGAATGTCAACCAACTTTGTACTGGATGGATCTTGCTAATAATCGCCTCGTGTATGCCCATCAACAAAGAGCTTACGGTAAGAATTCACAAGGTTATATATTCCCTTTGAGACAGCAGCATTACGACATCAAAGTGGTGTGCGATTTTCGTTCTTCAACAAAGATTCTTTCCTTTTTTCGGAAAACACTTCAGGTTCTTTGCACCACTCTAAGTGCACGTGATTTTCTCTATAAGAAGCACACTTTTGTGCATATATAACTCCTATGAGAAAAGAAACCTCCGGAAATGAAAGGTATTTATATTTTCGCTCTCACTGTGCGCTATGAAAACCTTTTCGAGAAGTAGTTTAAACTTCAAATTTGGCAAGATTGGGCTATCAAATGAGCTTAGTGAAGTTCAATAAAAAGTGATCCATAGACCTTAGCTGAACAAATAAGGCAAATTGATTGCGAAACACAATTTCATTGTTCCTCATACAGCGTACTAAAAAAGTCTTTTTGGAAACTAAGCAAAGTATCGGAATTCCCGAAATTCATGCTTTCGAATGACTACTTGAATTCTAGATAAAGAGCTTTAATTAGCGAAAAATATCTCTGAAAATTTGAGGATCAAAATGACCCTCATCGTCAGTAAGGGATATATCGATATTGAAGAACATAGTCCTCAACAACTTCGTAGATACTTCAAAAGATTTCTAATCGTTTCGTCCTCTTACTTCCTAAGTCGCAGATGGAAACGATCCGTTATACAAGGCGTTATCCACGAACGTTCATCATTCCTAAATTTAGTCCTCGTCAGCACACCTCAACATCGTTCAAACACTTCTTTTACATATGTCCATAAATAAATTATTGATAATTGAACGTTCCCTTTTGAATATATATGAACTTCAGAACCATGTATGTAGAATACTCGTCTAAAAAGTGGAGAATGGCGCCTGGCTCAATGTCAAGGAAGTCAGCTGTGTCGTAAAAAATAACAAATCATGAACGTAAAAACACCCGTCTAGAATGTTGAACACTGCAGTCTGGCTGAGTGCCAAGGGAGTCAGCTGTGTCGTAAAAAATAACAAATAATGAACGTTAAACACCCCTCTAGAATTTTGAACACTGCAGCCTGGCTGAGTGCCAAAGGAGTCAGTTGTGTCGTAAAAAATAAAAAGTCTCTGAGAGCATAGGTGACGTAGTAGACGAAATCTCAACAAAATAACAGAGCTCAAGATCACCTGTGGACTTGACATAATGAATGGATAGCGAGACGCTCATCCATCATTCGAATGTTTATTTTGCCGATGCAATGACTGCTTTTCTGTACTTATTTGACCCTAGTTTGTTATTTATGCTCACTGGACGCCCAATCCCTACTCGTTCGTTATCGTATCATTTCTTCGTAAATATCGTCATCTTTTAGGTTTCTTCGTCATCCGTAGTCCTGCTTCAATGCCTTAGTAAAATATCAATTATCAGTTTCTGATAATGGCTAAAAAATAGCCATATAGTCGACCACATGATGGTTCTAAAATGACTTTTTGTCTAAAGTACGCCGTTTTTGATTCAATCGACTCTATTGTCCGTCAAAGTCCAATGTCACCACGTCATGTCGCCCATGTTTTTCGATACGAGAGGATGATGGATAGCGATGAGAACGATAACGGACGTCGTAGTGCAGTAGCGATAGCAATCAGCTAAAGAATGTACTTAACAGCAATATGCCTTGGTCGTATGAAAACATTAGCGCCGAGATCATGGACTTTTCCGATATTTCAGACGACTAAGAAAAGCCTGGTAGTAGTCGAACAAAGACGTTCATGGCACCCTATAGAGCACAACAGCCTATAGAGCACAACAGTTGACGAAATAACTTTAACCATTGGCCAATGGCACTGCAATAGATATCGTCAGTGGAACGCAATCTTTGTTTTTTGACAAGGATTTTTTCCCTTGTTTCGAGAAATACTTTGGGTTCTTTATATTACTCTGATAGAACATGATTTTCTCTATAAACTGATATAATTTTGTGCATATATAACTTTAACGTGTGGAGAGAACTCTGAATGTGAAACGTAATTTTATTTTTGCTCTCGAAGTACGCTATGAAAACCTTTTCAACAACCAGTTTATGCGAGAAATTCGCCGAGATATGGGCTACCGAAGGGGTTTAGTGGAGTTCAATAATAAGCGATCCACACAGTTAAGCTGAGCAAATAAGGTAAAACCAAATTTTTTACATAACTTTAATTCATGCTGCTACAGCGTACTATAAAGGTCTTCTTGAAAACCAAGCAAAGTGTCGGATCCCCAAGATGAAAGCTTTTAAATGATTATTTGGATTCTAGATAAAAAGCGTTGTTCAGCGGGAAAATCCATTGAAAATTTAAGGTTCAAAATGACCGTCATCGTCAGCAAAGGATTAAAAGTGGGATTTAAATCGTAACTCTCAAGATATACACACGTATTTACAGAGTTAGAAAAATCCCAAAAAGCATAATAAACCTAAAAAATTACAAAAACCTTCATTACGAACCACGATAATCGGCCAGTTATCCATGACAGTGAGGTCATTATGTACTGGTGGCCGATAGTTTCCTATTGAGGGGACGAAGACCACCTATAGCGATAGCGATAGCGACCACCCCGATTCAATGAAAACTGAAACGATTCTAGAAGTCTCTTTTCAAGACTGATGACAATTTCGCATTGAAAGATAAATTTGATAGGGATTTCAGCGTTTTTCTTCCAAAAAAAACCAGTTTCGAAATTTAAGAAAATCTAAAAAATTTATCAAAGAAACCAGATATCCCAAACGTAAGCTACATTTCCAAGGAGAAATTCCCTATAGTTCCCTCAAGTTGGGGTTAGAGTTCCTCAAGATAACTACTCTCCATACTAAAAGAGACATAGGAATGAAGTGAACTGAAGAGTGTGGCCTAGGGCAAAACATCATAATTGACGTCAAGACAAGATAACAGACTCATAAAATCGTAAAAGAGGGATATGAAATTACTTTTTTGAAGTACTGAGAACAGATGACGTCATATGTCGTCACGACTGGGACTATGAGATAAACAACACGATATCGACTATTAGTTAGTCTTCCGGACTGTTAGAGGTTAACCATTGGATTAGACTCGAGAAGTCAGAGGCTTGGACTGTGCTACGACAAGCTTATCTCTCTCAATACACGAAAAAACTCAATGAAGAGAACAAATCGAGAAGAAGGATTGTCATAAGAGCAGAAAGAAGAGTAAATGACTCCATGAAGAATTATTACATGTATAAATTCACCGTGCACAAATTATGGCTATTAATCGGGGCATCCTGAGGACCGATCGACTTCAGTTTCCTTTATAGCTAAGGAGGAAAAAATTTCGAAAACTACCCAACACGGGACGGGTGTACCGAGTGAGCATCTAGGACGCGTTGAAAGAGAGGGTGGAGTTTGTCGAGGTGACGAGAGCAGGGCATAGGGGACCGAGGTGCAGACAGTGCGCTGAGCACGGAGGGCGCTGAAATCGGTCACGGATGCAGAGCAGCTTTGCCGATCGATTCAAGTAGCCTAAAGTGTATATTGGGTGCAATGTTTCGTCATGTATAGTATCCTCTAGAGGTGTGTTCTGCAATATTGCGTCTATGCATAACTGATGGATGTCGGTATGTGTATATTGTCTGCCAGTGATGTCCGTCTATGTGCGCGCGTATATGCGCATATCCATCCATTCGGTCATGTGTGAATCATGACCCTCTAGGGATTCACTAATGACGGCAATTGACTATCCCTTAGCAACTGCGAGATATCCCCAGTAAACCTACGAACTCGCATTTTTTAAGCATGTGGCGCAGGGATTAGAGGTGCTCTGCGTCGCACAACAAAATCGATGGTTCGATCTCGCATTCATGACTCACCAAACCGTCCATCCCTCCGAGGTCAGTAAATTGGTACCAGACAGGTCTCAGACTTGTCTGGAAGGATAAGCAGTACTGACTCGATACAGCGTGAGGCCACCACGAGTAATTGTAAAGGCCAGATATGCATTCAATCACATCAAACGAAATTAAAAATTGAAGACGAATGCATGGCGCATTCATCAGGGAATGATTAACGCCGAAAGCATTATACTTTTTTTCTTTAATGTAAAATCAGCTGATAGAGAGGGACTAAAAACGAGCTGACCTTCTGCTCAACTCAATCCAAGGCTGAAGCTAATGAATTGCTCCTCAAGACAGCCGAAAATATCGTTGGCTTTACTGTAACAAGCGTCCCCATAGATCGGCCTTGTACAGCAAAAATTAATAGATTGTAGAAATGTTTTTATGAGCATATGTGAATGCGCACTGTGTCATGTGTGAACCCCCTAGGGATTCACTAATGACGACAAATGACTTTTGCCTTTAGCATTTGCGAGAGATCCCCGGTAATCCCATGGAATCGTACTTTTCAAGACTAAATCAGCTAATAGAGAGGGACTACATGACGAGCTGTCCTTCTGCCCAAGTTGAATCCAAGGTCGAAGCTTATGCATTGCTTCTCAAGTCAACCGCAAATGAAGCGTCGGTAACAAACGCCCCCCTCCCACCACATACATCGGCCTTGTATAGCAACAATTAATAGGTTGTAGAAAAAGCTATGACGTATTGCGTGAGAAGATAATTCTTAGACATGTATTTTGAGCAAATTCGAGCTCATCAGAAAGCTCGTTTTCTTAAGCATTGAACTATATATTATTTTTCTACACAACGTTCAGAATGAAAGCGTCCAAGGGAGA